GGCAGAACATCTGCAGGGGCAGAACATCTGCAGGGGCAGAACATCTGCAGGGGCAGAACATCTGCAGGGGCAGAACATCTGCAGGGGCAGAACATCTGCAGGGGCAGAACATCTGCAGGGGCAGAACATCTGCAGGGGCAGAACATCTGCAGGGGCAGAACATCTGCAGGGGCAGAACATCTGCAGGGGCAGAACATCTGCAGGGGCAGAACATCTGCAGGGGCAGAACATCTGCAGGGGCAGAACATCTGCAGGGGCAGAACATCTGCAGGGGCAGAACATCTGCAGGGGCAGAACATCTGCAGGGGCAGAACATCTGCAGGGGCAGAACATCTGGAGGGGCAGCACCTCTGGAGGGGCAGAACATCTGGAGCTGCCTCTCACTCCCAGCCAGCAGCATTCCCAAAAGGCAGCTTTGCATTTCCACTCCCCCTTTCTCCTCCCCCTCTGCCAGCCTGGACCTTCTCCCAGCTGCAGTTGCAGGACAACCCCAAAGGGGACTGTTTTGTTTTCATTAATGCCCTAAAAAACGGATTGCAAGAAGCTCCAGCAGTGACACGAGTTCATTTCATAGAACCATCATGGAATCATAGAATGGTTTGGGTTGGAAGGGACCTTAAAGAGCATCTAGTTCCAACCTCCTGCATGGGCAGGGACACCTCCCACCAGCCCAGGCTGCTCCAAGCCCCATCCAACCTGCCCTTCAACACTGCCAGGGATGGGGCAGCCACAGCTTCCCTGGGCAACCTGGGCCAGGCTCTCCCCACCCTCACAGCCCAGAATTTCTCCCTCCCATCTCAGCTCCAGCTCCCTCTGCCAGCTGGAAACCCTTCCCCCTGCTCCCATCCCTCCCTGCCCTTGTCCCAAGCCCCTCCCCAGCTTTCCTGGAGCCCCTTCAGGCCCTGGAAGGTGCTCTCAGGTCTCCCTGGAGCCTTCTCTTCTCCAGGCTGAACACCCCAACTCTCCCAGCCTGGCTCCAGAGCTGCTCCAGCCCTTGGATCCTCTGTTCACTCTCCAACACCTCCACGTCCCTCCTGTGCTGGGGGCTCCAGAACAGCAAACATCTCATCAATAAATTAAGAAAAAGAATGAAATGAAGTATTTCCTCCCCTGCCCAAAGCAGGAAGTGGCCCCATTTCACAGCAACCTTGGCTTTTATGATCACAAGAAGGAAAAGTGACTCTGCGACCCAAACAGCACAGCTCGGTGGCCAAGCCAGGAATAGAAATGAAATCCCAGCACCTAAATCCCTGCCCCCTTCCCAATCCCTGCCCTGCAAAGCTCCAAGGCCCTTAATTACAGCCACGGGTTCTCATCCAAAGTGAAAAGGTGCTTTTCTTTCTGGTTATATAAACTGTATTTTTGGGTCTGAGCGTCGACGTCGCTCAGAGAGACCAAAATCCATCTGATCCCAAGTCCTGGCTGGTTTTGGTTTGGTTTTTTCTTGCAGGATATGAAGAAGAAACAGGGCCCTGGGCTCCTGAGTTCATCTCCTTCCCTGGGTTGGAGCAGGAAGTGTGAGATGGGAAGAGTTTTAGGGAAAATATTTAACAGGGTACGAGGAAAAAGGGGTTAAATCTTGAGATGATGGAAACATGGGATGGGTTGGGTTGGAGGGACCTTAAAGATCATCTAGTTCCAACCCCCTTGCATGGGCAGGGACACCTCCCAGCAGCCCAGGCTGCTCCAAGCCCCATCCAACCTGCCCTTCAACACCCCCAGGGATGGGGCAGCCACAGCTTCTCTGGCCAACCTGGGCCAGGGGCTCCCCACCCTCACAGCCCAGAATTTCTCCCTCCTATCTCAGCTCCAGCTCCCTCTGCCAGCTGGAAACCCTTCCCCCTGCTCCCATCCCTCCCTGCCCTTGTCCCAAGCCCCTCCCCAGCTTTCCTGGAGCCCCTTCAGGCACTGGAAGCTGCTCTCAGGTCTCCCTGGAGCCTTCTCTTCCCCAGGCTGAACACCCCAACTCTCCCAGCCTGTCTCCAGAGCAGAGCTGCTCCAGCCCCTCTGTTCTTCACCCAGAAGAAGCTCTTGACTCCAGAACTTCACCCCATGAGTCAGTCAGGAGCTGATTTTGGAAAGGAACAAGTCAATATGGTCACAGAGAACCCAGGACATCCTTTGGAAAACTCTTCCCATGCTGAATTATCCCCAAGTTCCCACGGTGAGTTATCTCTTATGACCAAGCTCTATGGACTTAACCCATGAAGAAGTTATTGAAGCCCTGGGTGGCCACGTTCCAACCTTGAGATACTGGCACTTCCAAGACACCCATCTTGAGCTGAACACACCACGGAGATGGAAAGGGCACCAAATGCTGCTTCAGAACAAGTCCTTCCACAGAAGGAACACAGAGAAGCCTGCACCTCCAGAGGCCACCTCAGCTGCTTGCAGAAGGTTTTCTAGACCTCAGGAGTGGTTGTTAAGGAAGGAGGAACGTTCAGTCCTCTGGTGGCAGCAGATGGAGAAGGGCAACAAGGAGGAGAACATATTTATTGCCAATTTCAGAAAGGACAAGTGCTGTTCCTGGAGCTACGTAGGTTTCACAGGTCTCCTCCACATCCCTCCTCTGTGGGAAGCCCTCAGTGCTCGGGTCCATCAGCTGGAGGGGGGACAAGTGGCACCTGAGCTGCTCTTCTAGCAGTGATGACCTTGTCCCTCCTCCTCCAAAGGACCCTTGTCTGACCTCAAAGCAGGACACTTTGACATCTTGTGGATTGTGAGAGATGGGAGACCCAGCAGAAAGCCCATCTGACCTCGAGAGGGAATCAACAGGTCGTGGAACCATGTCCTGTTCTGGGTGGAGTGGCTCCCAAACCAAGGAGAACCACTTGGGATCATCAAATCACCAGATCATTATGGTTGGATCAGACTGTTAAGACCATCAAGTCGCACTGTTCCCCCTGTCCTGCCAAGCCCATCACTGATCACAGCATCATCTCTGTGGCCTCCTCTGGACTCTCTCCAACACCTCCATGTCCTTCTAATGTTTGGGGCTCCAGATCTGGACACAGTTCTCCTGGTGGGGTCTCACAAGAGCCAGGCAGAGGTGGAGAACCACCTCCCTTGACCTGCTGGGCCACATCCCTTCTTACCAATCATGTCTTTTTCCAGCTTGTGCTCATGGTCAGGAACCAACACACGAAGGTGGAGAAGCCCTGAATGCTGAGGAGCTGGAGGCACAAAGACCTGACCTGGCTCTGCCCTCTGCAGCTCCTCTGGCCACCACCAAAAATCCATTTCTGATTTGCACAGCTCATCTCTGGCTGGTCTGTCCTGGAGATGAAACCTCTGCATCCCTGGGAGCTTTCCTGCCCTTCGGAGTATAGAAGGGGCTCCAGGAAAGCTGGGGAGGGGCTTGGGACAAGGGCAGGAAGGGATGGGAGCAGGGGAAGGGTTTCCAGCTGGCAGAGGGAGCTGGAGCTGAGATGGGAGGGAGAAATTCTGGGCTGTGAGGGTGGGGAGCCCCTGGCCCAGGCTGCCCAGGGAAGCTGTGGCTGCCCCATCCCTGGCAGTGTTGAAGGGCAGGTTGGATGGGGCTTGGAGCAGCCTGGGCTGCTGGGAGGTGTCCCTGCCCATGGCAGGGGGGTTGGATGGGCTTTAAGGTCCCTTCCAGCTGAAACATTCCATGATATGATTCTATGAGATCAAAACCTGTCCACACCATCCCTGTTAACCCCTTCAGGAACAAGCTCCTGCTTCACCAACCTCCTCCTGGGCTGCGTGGCCAGCAGGTCAAAGGGAGGTGATGGCTCTGGATTCTCCCATGGGTGGTGGAAACTTGTTGCACCCACTCCAGAGCTTTCTGAGTCACAGAATCATCCAATGGTTTGGGTTGGGAGGGACTTTTGAAGGTCACCTGGTCCAAACCCCCTGCCATGAGAAGGGACATCTTCAACCAGACCAGGTTCCTGTCCAACCTGACCTGGAATGTTTCCAGGGATGGGGCATCTCC